CGGTTTTCCACTAGGCGAAATTTTTCGACCGAATCGAAATTTCTCTTTGTTTCAGAGCTCTCGAGCAGAACTAATTGTAAAAAGACAAAGAGAAATTTCGTTTCGGTCGAAAAATTCCGCCTCGTGGAATCCGGCCTTTACACAGATAAGTCACTGCGACCGAGAACAAGTGCACTCTGTTCGGAAGCGTATTTAGTCCTTGCTATAGTACGCTAAAACTGGGATAAATCGATGTTTTCGAAATGCTATTATTTTAGTTGCTGTACCCATGTAAATATCTCGACTTTCATCCAGGAACGATACTCTACATGCAGGGAAGAAGATTTTAGCCGATCAAGTATATTGACCCCATTAGGAAGCTTCAAAACTAACCTTGCCTTGCTCTGGCGCGAGCTGTAAAAACATTCTGATGTTGCACATTGTATTTTGTCGTAAAACTGCGCGTTTTCCGTTGCTCTCGTGGAAAATGTACCTCTTGCGATAAAAGAAAATATGGATAAAGCGGAGTATAACGAGGTTTTCTGATGTGAAGAGAATAAAATAGAGTTGCTACAAGACTGATTAAAATTCAAAATGGAGAACAAGCAACTCTTCATACTATAATTGAAGGCGGAAAGGAAAATACCAAAAACTTTGTTGGAGCGTGAAGAAAATAGAGGTAAGAATTACAATATAACCAGAAACTAGTATAATCTTACTGCTTTCGGATTGGCATTTATGCCCAAGATAATTTTTTTTCTGTTGCTGTGCAACCAATTAGCGTTTCTCACGCCGCCATTTTTGGGTGGCTTTTCAGCCGAAGTCTGCGAGATAAGTCCACATAACAGCGACTTTTTATAATTTTTTGGACGAATGATGGTAAATTTGCTTTTTAAATGGTTAGTTTATTTTGAAAAATTACTTTTCACATTGTTTTAATTGTCTGCATTGGTTAACGAGAATTAGATGCCACCCAAAAAATGGCGGATATTCGTCATCGTGAGAAAGGCTAATTCATTAACCTCGCCGTGATTTCGTTTCCAATTTTCATTAATTTATTAGTGCATGAGTGTTCTTGCTCCAAACAATGCTTGATGTCTCTTTCAACACAGGAGGAGTCTCGCTATGAAGAAGTACACAATGTTCTTGTGCCTGACGTGGGAGTCGAGCACAAACAAGTTACTGGTGATACAAATACACAGGGACGCCGGAACGATGTGAAGACAAGGGGGGCAGATTTTCGTGAAAGGGCACGTTTGAATTGATATATACTAAGAGATGATTGCAAAACATCGGGAGTTGAACTTCGCCTAATCATGTTTTCTATTTATTGGATGATAGGAGTGTGAAGGGGTTCTCCGCCAGGCGATTGTCCTATTCTTGAAGCTCGATGACTGCATTTCTTGCAAATTCGTAAAAGAATTGCATTAACATTTGTGACAATTCGCTATTTCACTAAGGCAATCCTTTAAATTGAAAGGGCACCTTTGCCCCCCTTGCCCTTCCTGGTAAAGGGCAACGGGGGCGGCTGCCCCTCCTGCCCCCCCCCCCCCAGTTCTGGCGTCCCTGCAAATACACCTGGACTTTCATTCATGGTGATGCAAAGACGACACCAGATGTTTTCCTCTCAACTTTGAACAAACCTTGTGAAGTTTTGCACTTGATGTTTCCCTTCCAAAAACAAAAGAGTCATACCATAGGAGGTACAAACTGTTCTTGTGTCTGACGTAGCAGGCAAAACATGCTGTGGTAAATCTGATTTTGAATTTTAATAAAATGTTAATCTGAGTAGCAGTTGAAAGCTGAAATATACAGAATAATTACATGCAATATTCTAGAACATAGTAAAAAAGGATTCCTAGTAACATATACTGCATGAAAAAGTTTAAAACTACATAATACCATATGTTAATAATATGCGAATTTTAAGTATCGCTAAAAAGTCTAATTATAAGTATGAAGATAATGAGTCATCATACGTTTTTTAAAATATGACATACATATATCATTTCTTCTTTGACTAAGTGATTGAAATCCATTAAGTTTCATAACTTCCTAATATGATAGATCGGAATATATTATTCGTAAGGCGCGTTTTTGAATTCTTTAACTTCTTTTTGGCGTGCGTATTCAAGGATAGGCCGCATACATGCAAAAAACTTGGATTAGAGAATTCACTCCAACTCCGCTTCGTTTAAGTACTCGGAGAAAGTATAGTCTCTTTGATGCCTTTGCTACGATAAATTCAATACAAGTTCCAATGAAGATCAGACGAGAAAAGAAGACCAAGGACTTTTGCTGGCGAAACCAAGATGTTGCTAATAAACATATTGTAAAGAATGGTTCATTGGATGTTGAGGTCTGGAGGGATGGCTGTCCATGAACATGCATACTTGTTCTGAATGGCAGAACACTGAAGATCTTCACTAGTTCATGACTTATCTGGGCCTAAGACAATTTCCATTCAGGTGCCGAGTGCCAGATCTCTACCTCAGTGTGTACTGTGTAGAGCCTCATCCTGGGTGCGTGACCATCGAAAGTATGGAATCATCAGAACTAAAGTCAGCCATCTGGCCCATCTCCCATCGACCTCCATCAATAAAGATGGCACAAATATTGCTGGGAAAGAAGTACGTATTTAGTCCGCAATATCATAAGTTTAGGCATGCGTTTGACGGAAGTATTATAAGGCAAAACAAGGCCTGAGCATCTCTATCGAACTCTTTTACTCAAATATTGAATCCAAATATTGAAATTATATTAACTATACAATTTGAGCAGACAGTAAACATTGACTCATATTGTTTATTAGATGACAAATTGTTTTGACTGCTAGCGGCCTGCTACTGTACAAGAATAAGAGCAAGAAGATAATAAATGCATGTAAACCAGAAAGGAAAAACAGAAAGAAAAAGGCAAAGTTGACAAGAAAGAAAGCCAATTGCAAGAAAAAATATTCTATTTTGACTTATGTTCTGCTCATGGTTTAAAGTTGAGAAAGAAACGATGAAAATAAGGAAAGAGGACAATCAGAACTAAGAAGAGAAGAACTTATTTCGAAGATATTTCTCAAAACATTGTATGAGCAATAAGCCAATTCGGAGCTTCTTCATCGAAACAGGGACGTAGGAACCAGGGGGCCAGCCCCCCCCCCCCAAGTTTTGCCAAGTGCCCTTTTTCCGGGAGCAAAGTGCCCTTTTCTTGCGTGAAAAATGTGATTAAGATTGCATTTTTTGCCCAAAGGGCACTTTTAAAAACTTTTATTTCCGTGTTATTCCGGAAAATTTTTTTCATTAATTCCGGGAAAAATATGATCTATCCGGAAATTTTTTGGTATATCCGGAAAATTTTTTTTCATATTTAGGAAAAAATGTGATATATCCGGAAAATCTTTTTGGTATATTCGGAAAAAATTTTTGAGATGACCTCCCCCTCCCCGTCGCCAACACTTCCGGGAAAAGATTTTTAGGTGCCCTTTTTTATGCAAAAAGTGGCCCTCAAAACCTAGCCGCCCCCCCCCCCCCAACTTTTAGAAGCTTCCTACGCCCCAATCTCGTACCCAGAGCAATGCCTGTGCGCGGGCTAGGATGGAATTGGCTCTGGGGAAATTGAATTTTTCCTGTGCTGTGATTGGTTTAACGTTTGTCAATCGTGCATGCCGACAAAGAACCGGAACCCCTAAATTTAGGGGTTCCGGTTGTCAATTTCCCCAGCCGCCAATGCCTTCATAGCCCGCGCACAGGCATTGCTCTGGGTACGAGATTGCCTACGCGCCCCTGCATCGAAATGACGCGTTCTGCGTCGGGATAAATTGTAGTTGAACTATATAACATGTAGCTGAGGTTGGAAGGATTAGAATATGCACATCAAAGTATTCCGCTGTTTAATCATTGTTCGTTTTTTAATCTCAATCATTCTCATGTAATATTAAAAAACAAAAAACATCCATACTTTTTTAACGTCTGCGCATGCAAAATGTAGTGCAAATTTAAGTCAGGAAACTCCACACAGATTTGTTGATAGCCATATGAATAGTTTAATCACATCTAGACATTTTACTGGTAAAGTATCTGGAATCTGTTTTAAAAGTTTTGCACATTTTTACTAAAGTTTCAGTTTTCTACCTATATGTCTATGGAGTTCATGTTATAAGCGTATATATAACATTTGCTTGCCAAGTTATGCTAATTTCGGGGGATATTTTCTTATCACACTCATCCACTGGGACATCTTCCTGGGTGTCCCTGACTGATTTTAACACACATCATTGGTGAGGATGGGCCGCAACCTGTTGGCGCACATTTCAACTCACCATGTTGAGGACAGTGACCACAAGGCGGATCGTCTACCGTACCGCATGATTGATTCAACCTGCAACTAGTGCGACTCTAAAGCAAAATAAAGAAAATAATGTACTATAATACCGATGTTCTTATCAATTGTCACGGACGTTTCTGCCAACTGCATATAACATATTTATGTTTATAAATATAAAATATGTACGTATACCCGAAAGATATATAATGTTTATGATAAAGAACATTTTTTTATACGTCGTAGTAAAGGCCCCCTTGAAACGTTTTAACTGATTACCCCGTGCCCCGCGCAACCTCTCGGCGACACTGATTGGATAAGCTATATAAGTATGATATCAGGAATTAGCATATACTCGGGAGATAGATAGTGCTTTTCACTCAATTTGATTGGTTATTCAGCTCCAGATATCCTCATTGCACAGAGCTACTTTGCAATCTACTATACAAGCTATTTTGGTTGGCTTCTAAAGTCTCGCGGCCTTTTTTGGATTGTTGGTATAAATAATAATTATTATCCTGTAGGCTGTACTCCGACTATACTTGTGGTGACTATATTTAAGAAACTAGGGAAATAACAAACATGCAGAAACTAAAATTAGGTGAAAGATTAATGAGACATAATGGACCATTTGCATTATAGACTAAATTTTGATCTAGACAAAAATTTCATCACAGCTTGAAAGAGCATCACAAAATTAGTAATATTCCAAAGTTTCGTTGCGAAATGTTGTAAAATGCGGATAATATAACCATGCGAAGTTTGTCGTTTTTCAATCATTTTGTATTACGCCCGGGAAATTGACAGCCCATGCAATCGGGTGTTGGGGCATCAATTTCCCGTTTGTAATCTATAAAATGACTGAAAATTGCAAACTTCGCAAGGCTATATTATCCGCATTTTACAACATTTCGTAACGAAACTTTGGCGGAATATTACTAATTTTGTGATGCTCTTTCAAGCTGTGATGAAATTTTTGTCTAGATCAAAATTTAGTCTATAATGCAAATGGTCCATTGAAGAAGGAAAAGTTTAAGAAAGAGAGAATGAAATTGAATATTGAGAAGGGAAACCCTGTAGGCGTTTCGACCTAACCGAATCTTCTTCAGCAGGGATTTATAAGGAGGGCCGGTGTAGGTAGTGGTTACGAAAAAAGTATGCATTTTAACAATACATCTATTTTAAAAACTGAATATTTTGAATCTATTTCGATTCATCTCAGCATTCAGATATTTCATGTTACGGTATATAGAAAGGAAGGAGAGTTTTGCATTGGAGTTAGGATTAGAGAATAGAATCATGAGAATTAACAAAATTATGATTCGTTATATATCCTACAAATCAAATTCAGTTTCATAAACTTATGATAACATCATATCAACAGATATTCTCAGGGTGCATAATGCTTAAGATGCACTCCACTATATACGGAACCTGTCGCCGATTCGGAGGTTAAGGTTATTTATAGAGAGATATCTAACCTCCTCTGTAATCTATAATTTTCAACTGTAGGTCACTTACTAGCCATTTCCCAGGATTACAGGCAAATGTAACCATTGGCATCACCATCACAGCAACAACAAAGAAAAGATAAATCTTACAAGATTTCATCTCTGACTAAATCTTGTTTCTTTGTTTCAGGGGCTTCACTCTTCAACAATTCCTGGATATCTGAATCATGCCGAATAAAACAAGCTTCTTTTATATACACCATTATTGCGGTAATTGCAATGAAATTAATTACGAACATTCATTTACGAAAATAATTATTATATAATTAAGTTTTAAACCAATAAGTAATATATTAAAAAATATACATAATCTTTTTAAAAAATAATATATTGACAACGGCCGCCTTTCTGCATTAAAACTGTGCCAGGGTAGGGAT